CGAAGAGGATGGTCTTCAAGAAGAAGAAGAACCCCGCCAAAACTCCTCGGACTGATGAGAAGAAGAAAAACGTTAAAGAACAGAAAAAGAACGTTGAGGAAAAGAAAAAGGGCGAGGAAAAGAAAAAGAACGACGAGGAAAAGAAAAAGAACGTCGAGAAGGAAAAAAATGATGAGGAGAAGAAAAAAGACAACAAGTAAGAAGAGTTTGACCTATTTAGCAAAGAAAAAGTAAAAGCATCCTTAATGAAGGGCAAAAACCCCAAACGAAAAAAAACATATTGACCTCACGCCATTGAAGAAGGCAGCAGTTCCAATTATTTTCATAGTGGGTTAGTGTCATAATTGGATTTTGATAAACGTTCCTTATCCTAGAATATATTCATCCACAGGAGGTCCTGGTTCCGGGAAAGGTACGCAATGCGATAAAATTGTTGAAAAGTATGGATTGTCGCATCTTTCCTCTGGTGATCTTCTACGAGAAGAGGTTAGTAATTAGGTTGAACGAGCATACTACACGCATAAACTTCCCTCTAAGGTTAAATCAGGCTCCCCAAGAGGCGAAAAGCTCTCAAAGATTATGCAAGCTGGAGAGCTGGTCCCACTTGTCAGTCATTGGCAATCCCCTTTTTGTTTTTGCTGACAGACTTCATATTTTTCACTTTTTATACAGGATGTAGTCTTAGAATTGATCAAGGAAGCGATGCTCAAAGAGGTAGCTAAAGGGAGCAAAGGCTTTCTCATCGATGGTTATCCAAGAGAAGTCAAGCAAGGCGAACAGTTTGAAAAAGAGGTTGGGTTAATCTAACGCTGAGACTGATAATAGGTTCAGTTCATGTACACTGGAGTTATACCCTCGAGTTTTCATCTATACAGCTTTATTTTAGATCCAAGAAGCGGCATCAGTAATCTTTTTCGATGTCAACGATGACATTCTTATAGAGCGACTACTAAAGCGTGCAAAAACTAGGTAAATCGACTATATTAGCACTTCAGAGAGTTCAAACATGCTTTAAAAACCAAGAGATGTGATTCACCGATCTTTTAAAAATTGAATTAAATTCGCATTTCGAAGCTGAGAATCGTTTACATAACAAAGCAAAGGCAGCTAGCTTCTTGTACTCAAAGTATCAATCCCCATATGCTTCCAAGCGTAGCTTCATTGGCGCTTAGACTGTTCGTAGATGAAATAGTCCAGCACGGGATCTTTTGCAAGCAGTTTTCCTTCCGCAGCGGTTTAGGAGCACGTTTACCAGCTGCTTAGAACTATCAACACGCTGTCCCGAGTGAGATTTGCACGCAGACGTCCTACTGCATTAGCTGGTTACATCCAGCTTTGCAATAGAAAGAATATAATATTTGATATTGATGTCTCTTT